CTTGGGCTAGAAATCCTAAACGGTTTGAAATGAGGCGATGTTTACCTGTCCTTTGACAGCCGGCTGTCAATCACTGAGTCACGGTGGGTGGAAACACGTGAACTCTGTCTGAACCCCTCCTCCTCCTCACTCTCTTCATCCTGACAACACACACACACACTTTAGTCACTAAAATATTCAAATCATTATCACTAAATAATGCAATAAGCCGATGTTTAATTATAATACGGTGAAATTAGCACAAAGATATGCAGCGTTGCCGAATATCCCAAACACACACACACACACACACACACTTTAGTCATGAAAATATTCAAATCATTATCACTAAATAATGCAATAAACCAATGTTTAATTATAATATGGTGAAATTAGCACAAAGATATGTCGCACTGCCGAATATCCCAAACTAATGAATTTTTTCCAAAAATCTGCTAATGCAATAAAGAGTGAAACTCTCATAAAAGCAAATCTGCTTGATTAAAACTTTTTTAAATAAATCCCAGTCCTTCTCTCTTTTTAACTCTGGAGTGGATTACACATTTCTCTTCTCGAGCTGGGCTTCGGCCACGCAGTGCTTGGCACCCAACTGTGTCACTGTGGCATCTCCTCTCTCTTCTGTCTGTAAAAGATGAGCCTGTAACAACAGCCGTCAGCCTGCAGACCTCCCTCCCAGTGTACATGCGCTCTTTTTTTCCTCTAAGGGAGGATTTGGGGAAGCTTTAGAGTAATTAGAACTCTTCCGCTTTTCTTTCACGTCAGGGTGTTCCAGTGAAACACGGTGTGGGCGGTGATGCATTTAAGCGGCCCACGACTCAAGCGAACAGAAAGAATGAGCACGTAAGGTGATTACCTCGTTCACTTCCTGGAAGACAGTAGCGGCACATCCTGACACAATGGATGTGAAGAATACAGAGTGCCTGACAGAATCAATGGAGGATGTTTGAAACACTGACATGTGCCGTAACGAGTGTTTTGGAGAATGCTTCTGCATGGGTTAATGTGCGCATTGAATGACAGCATTACATGCAGTTGCGATCTCAGGCTAGACGTACAAAAGAAAGCTTGCAGCGGGGTCCGTGGATGTCTAGGATTCTCTGCACTCGTTTGTGGATCTCCTCTGACTGTGAGGGACTGGATGAACTCTGGAACCTGTAGGAAATGGAAAACAACAGGACTGAAACTACAAATCAAAGGGATCAAAGTCTTTACTCAAATATGAGCAATGACAAATTTGCTAAAAACTAATATTTACTGTATTATTCTTTTTACATTTTTTTCTAAAAAACATTACAAGTCTTACTGATCCCAAACTGACCGGTAGTGTATACATGCATATATTTCATTTTAATATATTACATATATTATTATTTAATATTAAATAATTCATATAATTAAATAATTATATATTATTTATATATAATTAAATATATATATATATATATATATATATCATTTTAAATATACATAATTGAAAAATATTTATATTTTTCTGATTATGTTTCATGTATTGCTTATTGTATATATGTGAGAGAAAAAAATCTTTAAGAATAAAAATTGACAATAAAAATTCAACAAAAGTTGAAAAAAATGAAAGGGAAACCAAAATCTATACTGAAATAAATACCAACAATACCAGCTCAAACCACTAGTCTGTGCTGTCGCCCTTACATTGGAGCTCTGTCATCTTGGGAAATACGACTTGAAAAAAATTCAGACCAGTTAAATCATGAAGTTAAATCACAAATATACGTACAGAGACATTTATCTCCAGCCCCGTAGCAAATGCTGATATTTTCTTTTTATGCATCTAAATATGCCACAAGAGAGAAGCTCAGATGAGGAATTACCCAAACATTTGAGCCTTGTCCTTGGGTTTACAATATCAAAACCTGTGCGTGAATAAACTAGCAATATATTAACTCACTGAGCTTGTTAAAAAGATAGAAGAAGAGAATTCATTAGAATTTTTATGAAAAGCAATATAGAGGTAAAAAGACCAGCAGATCTGTATGAAAGGTCATGCATCACTGTGGTTCTTTATCTTTAATGGCCGTAACGCAGGTGGGCCATAAGATGGTCTTTCTAATTACCATACAAGAAGGCCAGAGAGGGCCAGCCTGAACTTTTGAAACCATCATTTCTTTCACTCCCCCCCATCAGCAGCTCAAAAAGACGTGCCTGATCTGTCATTGTGTGAATCTGTGGAGCGAGCCTTAATCTCCGGGCCTGTGACTCCGGTCATGCTTTCCATTGACAATAGTATCACACATTTCCCACAATTTACTCTCAAGACTTAGATTGTCTATTGATTTTAAATGTTTGCTCATGCTCGTGTGGAAAAGGTGCTGGTGGTAGAGAGACTAGCAAACAAACAAACATCTGCCGGTTTCGCAGCCGATGTACAGATCAATGACAAGGGTCTCTCGGAATTTATTAAACTGTGCGTCGGGTCAAACGCATTAGATCTCACTGAAACCCAATCAATAGCATTTCCCCTTGTTTTCTCAGCAGCTTTTCCCCCTTCTCATAAGTAACGAACAAACATGACCAAACATCAGATTCTGTCATTTGAAGGTGAGGCAGTAAATTCATCTTGTCTGTTGTGTGTGATCACAATATAGATTTGTGGAATGGACGCTCTGTTTACTGGGCTTTGTTTTTATGAGCCGCACATTTAGTCAATACCACGTAATTGGAAATTCACAGGAAAAGGGCGAAGGGGTAGCACTAGTTTCGCTCACTGCACCTTTATAGGTTCGAGAAAAATGCAAAAATGCATAAAATATGGATTTTGGCACAAGCATGACATATAATAAACATATGGAAGGATAAGTAAGTATAATGCTTCTGAATGTTGGCCCTAATGAAAAAACAAATCAATCCAATGACAAAATTGAACAGTATGAGAAGAGCAAAGACTGTCTGTGTTAAATCGCTTTGCAGCAAACAGAGTAAATGCAGTATAGGATGCCAATGACAAAATCGAACAGGATGACAAGAACAAAGGCAGTCTGCGTTAAATTGCTTTGCAGCAAACAGTGTAAATGCAGAATAAGTTGTGTTAAATGTACCGTTCTCTCATGGAAGA